TCCCCTACCTCGCCTCGAGGGTCGTTCGCGACGACGCTGCGGCAGCTGCTGGATGATCCGTTGGGGACCGCGAAGGTCCCGGCCGGGGTCGTGGAGGCCGTCGCGAAGGACCTCGCGCGGGAGCTCGCCGGGCCGGATGAGCGGCTGCTGCTGCTCTCCCGCCTGCGGAACCCGGGGCTCGCGTTTGTGCGGGAAAACCTCCTCTCCGGGCGGTGGACCGCCGCGCAGTACGCGCGTCAGCCCGAGGAAGCCTTCATCACCGATGAGGAGAAAGCCCAAGAGGAGCAGCGGCTGCGGCAGAAGCTCAAGGCCTTTGAGGAGGCCAAACTCGCGCATGTGAACTTCACGAGCATGTTCACCTGCCGTGGCTGCAAGGGGAAGCGGTGCCATTACTACGAGCAACAAACCCGCGGCGCGGATGAGCCGACGACGAAGTTTATCACTTGCTTAGACTGCAAGTTTGTCTGGACGGAGGAATAAAACCACCGCAAAACGGGGGAAATAGAGCCAAGGAAGACGGAAGTGGAGGTGGTAAGAGAAGGGGGGTCGATACAAGGAAGCCAATTCGACGCGTCTTTCACACATTTCGATGTGTATTCATCTAGGATGGGGTGGATGTGCGAATTCGGGTGGGTTTCAGCTAGAAGAGGACACACTCGTGGCGTGAAAAGGAAGAGGGAGTGATAAAGGTGTGGGGTGCATCCATTTCTATCTAAACGCAGGTAGGAGCCTGACAACGTGTTGTATAAGCATTTCCTTCATCTTTCAAGTGGCATAACATAATAGTATCTCTAAGAGAACTGACGAAATTTAAAGAGCACGCATTTGATGACACCCTGATTCTTCGATATTTACCAGTGCAACAGAAGGATGAAGTGGCGCATCTTTTCTCGAAGTGTTTCCCTCGATGTGATAGAGAAGTGGCGAGCAACATAAGACAACCAAAGTTTTTTGTGTGTTTGTCTGGGAGTCGGTAAGGATAGTGATTTTTTTATCCGTCATGAGTTGTTTTTGCTAAAGATTTAGCACCAGGTGTATAAGGTTGTTTGTATATAAATAAATTAAATAAGAATATTAATACAATCTAGTTTAAGTCATTTTTTTTCTTTTAGGTTACCCTTTCCTGCACAAACCTGTATTAAGGAAACGCAAAATCTTCTATACATCAATTACAAAAAAAAAAGAACTAAGGTAGGTTATAGTTTTGTTTTATAATCATGACGGAGGTATCAGGAACTATCCTTTCCAAGCAAAACATGAATGATTCAAAAAAAGTAATTTCGAAGTCCCAGATTCTAGAAGTGCCTAATGGTCTCAGCGAAGAGATGATTCTGAGCGGTGAAACCCTTCCCAAAGGTGAATCCGATAAACCTGAGCTTGAGAATGGTGTGTTGGAAGATCAGACTATTGAACTTAATTTTGATGAGGAGCCTGAAAAAGTCCAGCCGGATCGTTCGTCGCTTCCTCCCGTATCCGCACACCTAAGCGGGGACGATGATGGAGAGGCAGAGCTGCTCAATCTGAAGCCGGCAGGCGAGCCTGATCACAACGGGGCGGGCAGATCGGACAATTTAGATCGCCGGGCTAAGGAAACTTCAGAGGCCCGCCGGGAGCGTCATCGTCTCCGGAAGGAGGAAAAGCGGCGCCTCCGAAAAGCGAAGGACGGCGCCAAAAAGCCCCACCCAAAGCGGAAACGCGAGGAGCCCTCGGCGAGCAGCGACTCCGATGACGACCCCCCCCCATCCCGCCACGCCTTCGCCAAGGATAAGCGCCAGACGGTGTTGGATCAATACCAACGCGAGGCGGATCGCCCTGCTGCCACCCCCTTTTCGGAGGACCCGGATGACCTCCGCCGTCGCCTGCAAGCGATGCGGGGGGCGATTTCGAACGAGGAGCTCCAACGCGCGGTGCGTCGCCTGCAGGCGGTGATCTCGGCCTGCCTGCAGGACGACGCGTACGAGCGCCACGAGGAGGCCCTTCTGGATCTCCTTCGCCCCCTCACCACCCGCGATCTCACCTTCGCGCAGCTCCGGGAAAGTCGAATCGGGGTGGTGGTCGGGCACCTCTTGATGGAGCGTTTCCCGCTCCGTCTTCGCCAGCTCGCGCGGGCGACGTTGAACTTTTGGTTTATGCAACTCCCGCTGGGGATTCGACAAGGCCTCGTGCGCGATGTCGAGGTCGATCGATGCTCGAACGAAACGGTCGGGAGTGGGCAATCCGACGCCGTGGATGCCCGTCTAGGCGCGCTCGCCACCCACCTTTTTGAGTGCTTTACGGAGGAGGAGATCTACGACGCGCCGGCGGATTTGAACCTCGTGGAGCTCTGCCGGGAGTTAGAGTCGGCGATGCAGGCGCGGGATCGGGATACCTGCGTGAGTGTAATGGCGGCCCTCGCGGATCCTTCAAACGGGGCGTTGCGGCGCGCGATTCTCGACGGGCGGGTTCGCGCCGAGGAGCTGCTTCGTCGCGTGAACGATCTCGACGGGCTCGTCGGGGGAAGGGGGGATACCCGAGGCGTCGCCGCGGACTTCACCTCCCCTGGATCCCCCACCACCCTAGGGAGTCCACTCGGGGGGGAAAGAGGAGGCGGCGGGGGGGATCCCCACTCCCCACTCGGTGCCGGCGCGATCACGACTCTCTACCCTTGCCCAAACTGCGGGGCGCGTGAGTCGGTGCGGTCGACGTACTCCGTTCAGGCGCACGACAGCTTCCCCTGCATTCTTCGCTGCCGGGGGTGTAATAATACGTGGAACATCGAGGCGTGAGGGATGCCTGGGGAGAGTGGGTTGATCTTTGGGGGCTCTCTGTTTTTTAATACTTTGCAGAAACCCCCTTTTCTTTCCGGGAAGGGGGGGGTGGGGGCGGTTGTTCTGGCTGTTACCATGCTGTAGGTGTGGTTGGGATGTAGATCACGTGCGAGAGGTGGTGGTGATATGACAGACGCGCTCCGGATCGATGCCCTCATGTAGGAGGGTTCGGGGTGCGCAGATTACCTTGGGTTCCCTTTCAAACCCCCACCAAATGGTCTGTGCCGGTTTTTGTTGAATGACTCGCGTTGAGTAGTATATGAGGTGATGGACCTTATCATGACATGATGCGGAAGGGGGAAGTAAAGATAGGGTACCAAACAGTATAATTTGTTGCCTTGAATAAACGCATATCAACATTTGTGCATTCCTTACTGTATTTCAACACACACCTGCGCAGGTCCAAGAGCGATAACGTGCTAGCATCGATATAAGGTTGTGATATTTTTATTCGAGTTACAATATTCATCGTACATTTTGTCCCCATCCCTTCTTTGCTGATTTCCGTGAATTAGAGTACACTCACGTATCCCAAGGGGGGAAATTCAACAACCCTTTCCCCTGCGTTTTGACCATTAACCAAGATTAGTAACTGTAGAACGAATTGTATCCTTTGAGCGGAAGCACATACCCACACGCGGACTCCGGTATTAAGGTGTGGTCTCATGGGGACGGCGTGTGCAAGGCGCTCATATGTGATACCCCATGAACACAACACTAAAACCGGTGCGCCATTGAATACCAATAAAAATAAGACTTTATGCCCCTTGGTTAGACACGGCATCATAAAAGCAAGCGACGCCCCCAGGCTTCTTCTGCACTTTAATTCAACCCTAAGTAAAGACAAGTGTACATGCAAAGAGGAGGCGCTTCTGCTGTGTAGTAGTCGTGCCACCCTACTGCGTCGGAGTGGGCGTGCCGGTTTTAAGGATAGGTTAGGAAATGCAACAACGTACAATTGCGGATGCACGACGGATGCTGAGCAGCTCGAATCCAATTTATTATCATGCTCAGAGCCATTACCAAGTTGTACGGTGGTGGCAAATCCGCTTCGTTGGAACCCTGATGGTGGCAGCTCAACCATCTCACCCCACAATTTCACTTCCCAAAAACTTTCCGAAGGGTGCCTGTTTGGTCAGGACTATCTGCAACTGACTCATCTCTTTTTTCTGTCCACGGACGGCAGCGATCAGGCAGATATGACGCCCAATATTGAGCATTTGGTGCATTCAACTACCCACTTGGGTAACCGCATGATTAGGGGTACTACCACTAGAGGTGCAAGGTCCTTCCCTGAAGAGGCAAACGAAGCCTCGGGCTTGGTGCTGCTAGATCCAAAGGATTCATCGACTATACAAGGAGCCTCCATATGGTATGAAAAATGGTTTGAGAAGTGGGCTTATCAACGTGTTGAACGTTCTCGTCAAGGACTCACGTGGTAAGGGTGGGTAACATGTACACCTATGCAATACCTTTTAGTTTACACGTGTGTTTAGTTTCCTCTGTAAATCTAATCATCTTTGCGTGTTTCCTCGTCTTCCATAACCCGATGTGAGGCTGAGAACAAAGTGATCCATCTTTTTGTGAAAATGCATCTATGAATATGAAATCGAAGCGGGTGGGGGAAAAAGAACAAGGGGTCTGAATTCAATTCAACACATCTCATGTGTGGATCTTTAAGAAATGGGAAAAATATTTACATTTCTACCCCTAATAAAAATTTAACGTAGGGTCATAACAACAAGTTCAATAGTACCTCCTAACATCTTTAGAGTATGAGAAAGCGCCAAACAACTCGAGCCTCGAGTTTAGAAAAATTATCTTTTAGAAAAATTCCAAACATACCGCGAAACAGCGGCGGCGAAAAGGGCTCTGATATTCACCAAAGGAAGAAGCGTATGAATATCAATGATGAAGTCGATCAAGATCTAGACAATGATACACGTGTCAACTTGATGACTGAGTGTAGGGTTCAAATTGCCGACGAGGCAAGAATTTTGGAAGAAGATCCCGTTTACTTATCTAGGTTCTCTTTAAGCGCAATTATTGCATTTTCTATATGGGGATGTATCACGCTCATAGTGATTCTACTACTGCAACTCAACTTGGGTGATAAAAGCCGTCTGCTTGATTCCACCAGATTAAAGAGCAAAGCACCGTTTTGCAATGGCACGAGCTCCACTTCTCCTGTAGACGAAGGAAATTTCTCCTGTGATCCAAGCTCCAAAGTATCCCCGACGAATCTTCCAGAAGGTTGCCGGGTGAACTCCACCAGAAGATATACCCCAACAGAAGTCTTCGGGGCGGTCCTCGGTGCGCATCGCAACGTCACGGCCTTCAGCAACCACGACAGCGGTACCTGCATCTCCATGATTGACAACTTCATCGATCTACCCATTTCTTCGATGGATCCGGCGTCGGGGTCGGAGACGTGTGCGCCTCCACATGAGCAGGAAAGGCCTCCGGTTTCGCATCTCGTGGAGGACCCCCACGCGGGCCTTGGTCCAACCCGCCAGGAGGTGATCCGGGTGAGCACGGGGATGCAATGGCAGTGTGTGGAGTACGCACGGCGGTATTGGCTGCTCACCGGGAGCCCGCGGCCGGTGTCCTTTACGAGTGTGGAGGCCGCGTCGGATATCTGGGACCTCCTGACAACCGCCCACCTCCTCGATGGCACGACGTTGCCGTTGTGGAAACATCCGAATGGGGCCCCGGTGAGTCGTGGAGGGGCCCCGCCACGGCCCGGGGATCTTCTTCTTACCTTCGGGATCCCACCCGGTGTCTGCCCTATGGGCACGTGGCGGTCATCGTCGGGGTGGATGGCCCCGCGGGGCGGTTTTTTGTGGCGGAGCAGAACTGGGATCCCGTGGCGTGGCCTGCACCCTACCACAACTACTCCCGGGCCCTCGACCTACACGTGGAGGCGGGGGAGGAGGGGGACGGGCCACGGTATGTGATTAAGGACACATGGTACCACATCCAGGGATGGGTTCGCTACATGCCTCCAGAAAGCGGACCTCAAATCTTGTCGGTATAAAACATATCTGAGAGTGAGTTTGTGTGTGTGTGTGTGTGTGTGTGTGTGTGTGTGTGTGTGTGTGTAGGA